CTCCCCCCCCTCTCACCAGCTGCATGAGTTCCAGTGTCGACAGCGCTGAGAAGCCCAACCCCATGAGCATCAGCGTGCGGAGGGACAGGCACTCGCGACCCGAGGCAGCCAAACCCAAAACACCCAATACCACCGTGCCCAGCCCTAGCAGCTGCGCGCTCCCGACAGAACGCCGCGGGGTGTAGGGGGGCAGGCGGGAGGAGCGGGGGGATGTTAGGGGGGGGAGGGGGGAGCTACGTGCACACGTCAAACCAGCAAATGCTGACGTGTAAGGGAGGGCTCAACAAAGGGGGGGAGGACGAACCACACACGATTCAAGCTGATACCAGGTGTAGGCGGATAACGGGCTGGGCCCCCAAGCGGCGGCAAGAGTGCATGCGAAACAGAGCGAGGGCGGAGGGGCTGCAAAGGGGTACCTTGCCCCCCATGGCAGTGGGATGGGAAGGGTCTGGAAGGGAAAGAAACCCGGCGGAGGTGGGAGAACGCGGACACAGGAATCAATTAATTCACAATGCAGCGGGCAGCTGCAAGGAAAAGTAGCGACATCGTGTCGTACTGCGTGTGCACGAGCAGTACGAAAGTCAGCTGTGTGACTTGCCCCTTTCTGTCAGCTTTTACTTCTTTCGTGCAAATGCTCCATCGTCCTAGCGTCAGCTAGAATTCACCTTGAGAGCTGCCCCCCCCTCCCCCCTTCCCCTCCCCACCCCTCCAATAAGCCATCCCTCCAGGCGCCTGCTTCCCTCCCTCCTGCCCTGCTCTCCCCCCCCCCGCACATACACACACATACATACACACATACACACCACCATCGCCACTGGCCCCATGCCCCCCACTCACCGCCCCATGCCACCGCTCAGGTCCCACCATCGTGAGGAGGGAGCTACCCGCCAGCCACAGACCCAGCGCCTGAGGGGGGGGGGGAGCGGTAGGGAGGATGAGTGGGTGGTTAGGCCCGTTGAGGGCGTGGTTATGTGATGTACGGATAGGTGAGTGTAAGAAGGGACATCCCTGCGCCCACACGAAGGAGGAGGCAGGCTCAGGAATTTACGTGTGAAATGCGAAAAAGACGATTCACTTGGTGCAAAAGGTAAAGAAGACCGCTCGTAGTCTGATCAGCGCGGGGCGCCGTGGACAAAACACTTGTTGCTTGCGATGCCCCGCAACCTGCAATCGCTCTCCCACCACCACTC